CGGGGGGTGGCCGCGGCTCCATTTCCTCCCACGCGGCAGGGAGGGAGCGAAGCCATGGGATCCCATCCCCATCCCTAAACTCAAACCTGGGGCATCGGCACTGCGCGGGGCAAAGTGCAAAGGGGGTTCATTAGGAGCGGGCAGGGACCCTCGTCTCGCCCCCCCGGGCAGCCCTGCCCTGCATTGTGTGTGTGCCAGCCACACTGGAGAGGTCACAGTGATTTCAGATCACTTTTATTTAGAACAGAACAGCTGTTTGTAAATAAAAGTTCCATTCTTTTCACTGATAACAAGAATCGAATAGTCAAAGCAAAGAGTAGGATAGGGGATAGTCAGGTAGAAAGCACCTGAATAAACAAGAAGAAAAAGGTTGATTAATAAGGAATTGTCTTAGTTTATTAAGCATGAAAAGGGTAGAACTTAGGGCATTATTTTAGCTTAGGTAGCGTAAAACAAGGAAGAAAAACTAGATGCAGCTGGACTCATGACCTAGCAATATGTGCCAAACTCAAAGGTCAAGCTGATGAAGACCATCGGCCTTCCTCCCGACGACCCCTGGACGACCACCAGAGACCGTGGGACTAATGCCAAGTGGGAGGAGATGAAGGAGGAGATAATGATTTCCAAGAACTAATTGTAATAATGACCACCTATTCCTGGAAATAATGAATATGCATGAGTTCTTTAATGTATATAAACTGTGAAGAGTCTTTGTCCCTGGTTGCGCAAGTTTGGTGGAGCGATCCCCCTTGTGCCTAGCGCTGAATAAACAAATACCTGCTACCTCTGAGATGCAAGTCTGGGGGTAGTTTTTTTTCAGCCTTTTCTCGGCATCATCACGTTTTGTCATCTCGAGCTGAAAATAAGGGGTGTTTGCTTTCCTTTTTTTCCCTGTTAAACCATCAACCAATCTCCAAAAGACAACGAACAAACTCACCTTCACTTTGCAGTCTCACCACGTGTTCTGCCTGAAGAACTATTGACCAAAAATACACTTTTTTAAAACAGTAAAATCCTCCTAGAAGGACTAGTATTCTCCTCTAACACCTAACATTCAGATAGTTTTTCCTCTGAGACACAGATCCTCCAGCAAGAGCCAAAGCTGAAGTTCTCTTTTTTCTTGCAATTCTCCAAGTAAGCTCATTTTAGGACAATACACAAGATGCATCTTAGTATCAGGACATTATTTCTGCATCAAATTCCTGTAGGTGATTAATATCTGGGAATTCAGTGAAAAATGAGGAACATGTTAGCAAAGGGTAAAACATCTGAGCACAAAGAGAAGACAGAACAAAACTCTCTTTGCAATCTCTGGGTTAAGTAGATGGAAGTTAAAATGTTGAGGAAAAAGCATTTACTGAAGACTCAGTGCTCATTTTTAATTATCAAATCCCAACAGTTCAGGTAACTAAGAACAAAAGTGGAAAGAATTCTTGATCCCAGCAAACACTTCTCAAGGCTTCACTGTACATCAACACAAAGCAAATCCAGGCAAAAGCCCAGTTACAAATACCCTCTCTGTAGGTCCCTTCAACAGTAAACATCTACTTTTCTTGCTCTCATGGTCTCATTAACACACATAACCCTCCAAACCATAAATACAACAGACCTGAGAGGTGTGGAGGCATTTTAAGGCATCTTTATGATGACCTGGAAGGCAGAACCAGTGCCAATGGTGCCTCCTCCTCGAACACAGGCCTGTGCCTACATGGCTGTTCTTGGTTTCATACATCCATCAGCTCAGACCTTTTATACCAGTTGAAAGTTTCTCTGTTCCCACTCCCATTTAGTCTATCCTTCACCAGGCTCAAGTTAGGAATATTTACATGGAAACACAGTGGTTACCAGCAACAGGAACAGCAGGACACAACCAGTTCCTGAGCTTGAAGACATGCAAGGATTCACACTGAGGCAGAAGCTTCTCTTCATCAGGTGTGTGATTCCTGTCTGCCATCTCCTTGCAGGAAAAGGAAAGGTCACAATGGATTCAAAGCAGTAACACAACACAAAGGTTTACTGGCAAAGACACTGGTTAAATAAATTTTATCAGGACCTGGAGAAATGGGAATGGTGTGGGTATGATCCTCTTGGGAGGGATATGAATGGAAGCACAGGTTAGAGTGAGTGGTTACAGTAATCAGACATTGCAGCTGGTTACTCTCAACAGTACTTTTATGAGACATTTATAGAGTCAATAATTAAATATAAAACCAAGGATGAGTGCCACAAACAAGGAAAAAGTAAGGCTTAAAGCCTGGTCAGCCCCCAAATTGCCCTTCTAGTCACTGTACCTTTCATTTATTTTACCTTTCTTTTTACATGCTGCTCTTCTCACACATGACAAAGCAGTAAGAAAAGTTAAGCTGCAGGTAACTTCCTTCTGTGAAGCCTCAAACCTACTTCAACTTAGTACAAAACAGGGGAGGGGGAAAGAAAACATTTGCTTGTTAAAGAGCAGGAAGGGGAAGAGAAATTCATAGACATTTTGGACTGACAGACCCTAGGAAATAGGGACAATGCGAAGAGATGTCCAGACTGTCAAAATGTAACAGACAATGGTTTTGCTACCTGTTGTTTACCTGAATGTGATGTGTTGCATTATTCCTCATTTAGAATTACTGGCAACCACAATAAATGCCACAGGCAACTAGAAAATGGCAGTTGCACATGGATCAAACCCTTTTCTACCTAAGCAGGGAATGCAGGTAAAAAAGCTGAATGTAACAAGTCAACCATGTCCACACACATCCACATGTACTATGCAGGAAGAACATTTAAAAATATCGACAGGAGACAGTGATCCTATAGTTTTTCCTTTTCTCTTTCAGTTATATATAGAGAGATAAACAGCACAGAGGAGAAACACCACTAGAGCTTTCACCGTGGCCAACAGGAAGATTCCCACAAATACAAAATGTATGATTTCCAGCTGTTAAATTGCTTCCAAACATAATCCAGGTGAAATGAAAAGAAATGTAACTTCTCATCATGTAACAACAACAACAAAAAAAGAATAAACCCTTGGGATTCACACACTTCTCAAACATCCAACATTGCAGTCCTGAACATCTCAATCCCTACTACAGCAGAATGTGGTACCACCACAGATAAATGGGCAGAATTCCTTGAGAGCAGTGATACCACTTGGATCCTACGTGGGATTTAACTGTACTAAAACGTTTAGCTTACGATTTACATTCAGTTATTTTGGAGAAAGGGAATGTGGTAGTCCCTTCATGCTTTATCCTTGCTGGCTGCCCACCCAGGAAGCATTACTGTTACCACTTCAAGAGGAAAGGAAAGGTGCTGGTAAGAGCCAGAAGGGCAAGGCAATGATGTCAGTCATGAAATGCTCTGTTCTTTGGATGAAGTGTGTAAAACATTTTTGTTAAAAGCCTCCATGATAAAAATATTAAGAACAATAAGGTCTCCTTAAAAATACAGAGCATTTCTGCCTCTTCTTTTAAGTTCAAAGCTCAGGGGAAAGTGTTTTGCTAGAACTAACTACAGGCTTGCTGTAACAAACATATAGGACAATGCCCTACATAACACAGGGCCAACCACAGACTTGGACAAACGTGATTGCTTTAGGTTTCAAGTGGTTTATGCATCTCTTGTTGTAGAAAAGGAACAGAGACACTTCTGGAACCTTCACTGCAGAGTCTTTGCCAGTGTCCAGCTTTAGGGCAAAGAAGTCTTGCCACACTGCAGAGTCACAATCTTGAGGATCAGGTTGTAAAACCCATCAAGATTCAGAGTCTGAGCCAGAACTGCTTTCTCGGCTGATCTCAATCTGTAGGGATGGCAAATTATCCAACCGACTCTTTTTCTGCCGAGACTGTTCTTTTTCCTTAATGAGAGCACCCCAAACCCTCTGCAGCTCTGAATCATCTTCCTCTGGAGAGGCCACAGAGTTTTCAGGTTTATCTGAAGTCTTTTCTTGTGTCTTCGGAGCAGACCCTAACCGGGTCCATAAATTACCTAACAAAAAAACAAACCATTCTTAGCAACCAGACAGGACTAAGGAATTCTGAAGTAGTCAAGGAACCAAGTCTGAAATTCACTTCAAACCCCTCATACTCCTCCCACCTTAATGTTTGGCATGGAACTGGTTATGCTTTGAAGCAGTAGCTGAAATTAAACTAGGGGAGTCTCAGAGTCTTGTTCACTGTTACCCATTTGCAGAGAGTTCTACACAGAGCTCTGAAGTGCCACTGCATCCATTACACTTGTTTTAGTGCCCTGTTTTGACCTGAGTTTTAAAGCCCTCAACTTTACAGCACACCTATACAAAATACTGCTCATAACTCCCAGATCCTACCTAAATACATTTAGATTTCAAAGCTCTGAACAAACAGTCGCTAATTTATCTTGATTTTCACTCTACTGAATCTCCTTCATGACCCCCTGTTGAAATTCCTCTTACACTCCAAATTCAAAGGAATCGCAGTATTACATTTTCTCCCCAGAACTCACCTGATTTCTTCTCTCTGGTGTCAGAGTAGAGACCTTTCACATCCTGTTTGGGGATTCCTAACCTGCTGTGCACATCTGAGATTGGCTCTCGACGAGGAGCAGAGGTGCTGCTTGGAGGTTTGGTCTCTGGAGAGTGAGGCCTTTTGCCCAGTCTCTGCCGCACATCTGGGGAGTAAAATTACAAACATCATGTTCCATTTACCTCTGCTCATTTTATGGTTGTTCACTATTTGTACAACTTGAAACTAGACAGATTCTCTATTAGCTTTTCTGTAGTCTTCTCTTTTAAGTCTTTCATACTCAGATTTCAGCCCTGGCAATGTCTGCAGTACAATTTCTCCAGATTTCATTTCATTTTTGGCAATAAATTTGACATTTAGTGTTTTCAGGTTGTGCTCTGTTAAAGGGGGTTCAAAGAAAAATATGAAGGCAGTTATGGAACTATGTATCAACTTGTCAGAGTCCCAAAACACACAGGAAGGGTAAAATACACTAAGGTAACTTCAATATTACATTTACACAAAAGAGTATCTTTCACTCAGATAATGCTCTGAATATTACGTATGTCAGAAGTAGCTGAAATTATACAAACCTGAGTTAAAAAACCAGACAATTAAGCTCAGAAATAAACCCTGCCAACTGCAAAAAAACATCCAAGTAATACATGTTCTTTCATATAAGTAGGTAGTGTTTCACATTTCATTTTGTGCAGGAGCTTCCCTAAGTGCTGTGTTCCTCAGTCATACAGAATCTCTGCCCCAAGGACTGAACAAAACTAAAAGGACAAAGTGGGGGGAAATAGACACAGGCAAAGAAAATGGATAAAAACTAACCATCACTAAATAAGCTTTCACTAAAACATGCTTCATTTTTCCCCAAAGCAATTCCCAACTTGATCTCTTAGTGAGAAAAAACTGCATGAATGTAGTTTGCCATTTGCAGTGGAGCACAGATGTGGAATGAATGTATCATTTTAGTATCAAGTCACAATGCTGCACAGGAAGAGTGGAACAGTACCTGATTTCACAGTGCTGTTTGGCTGCCGTGGCCCAGTGCTACTCTGACGTTTCTCTTCTAGCAGTAGTCTGACATCTGCAACTTTCTCCAAGGATCCTTTGCTGCCAATCCTGTTTTTGATGTTACTGGTTGCTATGCTATCAGCTCTCATGGAATTCCTAAAACAAGGAAGAGATTTAATGTCCCTTGAATGAAATGAAATCTAGTACAGCTCTTAAGTCTTGTATGTAAAGTCACATCATTGAAAACATTATCATCAGGATGGCTCTGCTGAGAAACAGAGGTACAAACACTGCTTGGAAGAGCACATGTTTCAGTAATAATTCCAAGTTTAGCACTGATTCCATGAATACCTCACTATATTTCAAGGCAGGTATTGAGTTGGTCTCCTTAAGGCTGTGCCTCTGGGTCAAAATTCAGAGCAGATAAGCCACAAAATTGTTCAAAGACTTGACATTACAATGAAGTATAATCACAGCACTAAAGAAGTTAATTGTGCTTGTTGGCATAAATTTCTATTGATTCTGCTTCAAGCTTTGTTCCATCAATAAGCAAAGTTACAGAGATCTGCACAGGAAGCTATGCTTAAAATGTTAATCATATTAAAAACTTGTTTTCTGTATTTCTTCTTAAAATATCTACTACAAGGATTGAAAAAGCAGCTTCAACACTGTCATCAGGCTTTGACAGCCCTGTCACTAATTCAGACCTGCAATGTCTTTTCACTGATACTTCTGAAAATGAAGAAACTTTTACCTGATATTTTTCAGTTGTGATTCCACCTCATCTGCATACATGGTCATTTTCATGCTCTTTTTGGGAGAGGGTGTGGATATCATTTTCAGTTCCAGATCATAGTCCATCTCATCGGAATCAGAAGCGCTGGCACTCGACCGTCGCGCCGCGCTGCGCTCACGGCACTGCTTGAAGGCTTGGAGCTCATCACGGTACTCCACCACAACTCTGTCATCTTCATCCATATCCTGATCCTCCTCCTCCTCTTCTTCCTCCTCAATAGGCTCTTCGGGAACATTCACTAAGCCTGTAGCAAAACAAACTCATTCTGATCCACTGAATTTTATCATCCCTATAAAGTACTTTACAACCAAGACAAAACCAAAGCACTGTTAATGATCCCTCACAAATGAGGCTTTGTAGTTCTCTGAGGTTAGAGAGTGAATATTTTGCCAAATATTCTAAGTGGAATTGATATTATAGAAGAGCCTAAGTGGGAGAAAACTGATACAGGACCAAAATTCCCATGGTGTTCACTACCTCAGAGACCTGCCCAATATAAAGCTGGATAGAACACAAAGTATAACTTCCTTTTGCAGAAGGTGCAGCTCTTACTTCCTAAATTAGGCACAACAATTCCTATGATCCTGCAGAGCTTAACATGCCAACTGCTGGCTCTGCAATAATCCCTTCAAAACCTGCAGGCACTAATGCCAAAGAGAACACAAACATTAGTAAGAAGATGCAGACTACACAAAGTTGGAGGGGAGTGTCGATCTGCTGAAGGCAGGAGGGCTCTGCACAGGGACCTGGATAGGCTGGAGAGATGGGCTGAGTCCAGTGGGATGAGGTTTAATAAGGCCAAGCACTGGTCCTGAACTTTGGCCATACCAATCCCATGCAGCGCTGCAGGCTGGGACAAAGTGACTGGAGAGCACCAGGAGAAAGGCTACACAAAGTTGGAGGGGAGTGTCGATCTGCTGAAGGCAGGAGGGCTCTGCACAGGGACCTGGATAGGCTGGAGAGATGGGCTGAGTCCAGTGGGATGAGGTTTAATAAGGCCAAGCACTGGTCCTGAACTTTGGCCATACCAATCCCATGCAGCGCTGCAGGCTGGGACAAAGTGACTGGAGAGCACCAGGAGAAAGGAAAGTGGAGTTTGGATAGATAGAAGGCTGACCAGGAGCCAGCAGTGTGCTCAGGTGGCCAATAAGGCCAATGGCATCGTGGGCTGGATCAGGAACAGTGTGGTCAACAGGACCAGGGAAAAGATTCTGCCCCTGGACTCGGTGCTGGTGAGGCCACACCTTGAATCCTGTGTGCAGTTCTGGGCCCCTCAGCTCAGGAGGGATATTGAGGTGCTGGAGTGGGTGCTGGAGCTGTGCCATCAGCTACCTGAGTGCCGATGTTTGTAGGGAGGAGTCAAGCCAACATCGTCCCCAATCAGAGTCCTTTTCTTTATCACATCCCGATGGATGCGCCGGGAATGGTATCTTCTCTTCCTACAACACCATGAAAACAGTGACATTCCTGGCACAGAAAGGGCATAATGACTGAGCCATAATGAGTCCTGCGTTAAACACAGGCAATTATCACCTACTTTAACAGCAGACACACTGTTTATGTCACAGATCTGTTCTGAATATATATATTCAGTTTGGAATATAAACATTCTTTGCTCCCCTCCTAAATTCGCATTGCAAACCATTAGTTACACATAAGAAGTATCTACATAATCTGATTAGAATAAAAATCAATAAATTAAAATCACAGAATAATCAATGGAAGGGGACCCTTGAGTATCATCTAGTCCAGCTCCTGGCCCTGCACAGGACATCCCCCCAGAACAAATCTGTTTCAAGTTATCCTGTCCAATTAATGTTCCAGTTCCTCTGTCCAACACTCACCAAGAATTGCTGAGAATTCCCTTCATGCCTCCATAATTCGGATTTCCATATTTCATGTAATACTGGCTTCTCCTGGCAGCTCCTAGTTCCTTTTTGTCATCTGAAAAAAACCATAGATTATAGGAATTTTTCCCTCTTAGAATGTATCTCACAGCACAGCATGAAATAAATAACCAGCCAAACACACACAGAGTGAAAGTAAGGCTGTCTTGCAAATCAGCATTACTTCACCCTCCTCCACGAAGGATACAATTTTGCTGATACCTCTGGAATTTCTCCTGCCACCACAGTTTACTTTGTGTCTAGAAACTTAACTCCAGGGACACTGAGTTTCTAAATATCAGCCTAAGAAAGCATTACCTCCCACTCTCCCTGCTGGAGGCTCTACTCACCTTACTCATCACCTTTCTTTTCTTTAGGGATAGATTTTCATTTTGTTCATAAATATCACTTAATATCTCAACTGCATTTAGCAATAATTTCCACTGATACCTCATTGTCATCTCAAATTATATCCATGGATATAAAACAGGATAGACAAGAAGCTGAACATGAGCCAGCAGTGTGCTCAAGTGGCCAAGAAGCCAATGGCATCCTGGCCTGGATCAGGAACAACGTGATCAGCAGGACCAGAGAGGTGATTACTCCCTCAGACTTGTCGCTGGTGAGGCAACACCTTGAACCCTGTGCTCAGTTCTGGGCCCCTCAGTTCAGGAGGGACATTGAGGTGCTGGAGCAGGTCCAGAGAAGAGCAGTGAGGCTGGTGAAGGGACTGGAGCACAAGTGCCATGAGGAGAGGCTGAGGGAGCTGGGGGTGTTCAGCCTGGAGAAGAGGAGGCTCAGGGGAGACCTTCTCACCCTCTACAACTCCCTGACAGGAGGTTGGAGTCAGGTGGGGGTTGGTCTCTTCTCCCAGGCAACCAGCAGCAGGACAAGAGGGCACAGACTCAGCTCTGCCAGGGGAGGGTTAGGTTGGCTATTAGGAAGAGATTTTTTGTGGAGAGAGTGCTCAGGCACTGGAATGTGCTGCCCAGGGAGGTGGTGGATTCACCATCCCTGGAGGTTTTCAAGCTGAGACTGGATGTGGCACTTAGTGCCATGGTCTGGTAACCACAGTAGGGTTGGACTTGATGATCTTGGAGGTCTTTTCCAACCTGGTTGATTCTATGTGAATTTTACCTCTGTGGAAAAGGGCATCATAAAGCCTACTCCATGGCATTGGGAAGAATGTCCTGAGCTCAAGATACAATTTCCACATACAATAATTTTCATACAACTTGATCTGGATTTAATTCACATATTAAATATGGATTCATTGAAAAATCTTAACAGCTAATGATCAGCAAAAAACAAACCATTTTCCAAGTAAGACGTAGGTACTGAGTCATTAATTAGGCAAAAAAAAAACCACTACCAGCAGCAATTAATTCACTGTGCTTGCTGAGTTGGTTGTTTACCTTTAGTAGCAAATCTCATGAAGAGCTTGTTTCCTTTAGCCAGTTTATTGGCAGGGCGAAGGTCATTGCGCAGGAGAGAATCCTCTTCTACTTGGGAGAGAGCATCCAACTTTGGGGGCAAAAGAGGCATTTTGGACTCAAAAATAGCATTACTGGTGAACTAAACTGGATTGCTTGCAGAGAAGCAATCAACTGATTATCATGAAAGTTACTCTTCATATTAAGTTCAAATGAATTCTGCTCTTTTCTTGACAAACTAACGTGATATTTTAAACTACTTTGCCCTGAAGATGTAAAGTATTTCCTTCTCTTACTTTAGAACATTATCTCAGATTATTAAATCCAGTCACTGCCAAATGACACTGTATTAGTGACTGAAATGCAGAAAATAAAGAGCACAACTTGGACACAGAAAAATTCCTTTTTTTTTTCCTGCTCATTTCATATCTAAATGGCTTTACTAAGAGGTCCTCATGCTCTCATACAATGGTTAAAAGGCTTTTTCATTTTATAGAGACTAAAATTCAGACTTCCATGATGTAGGAGTGTCACTGAGCCATTCCTAAAGAAAACACTAATCACACCTATTATACACTCAGCCAGTGAAGATTAAATTACTCAGAGCACATCAATGTGTATGCTGATTCCCACAGATCTATGGGCAACCTAAATCCCATTTGTCTCTTTAAGCACTGCCCTCACTGCTGAAAGGTCATTGCCTTCCATTACTGTTCTCTCATTGCCTCCTCTCAGCAGAAAAGAGTAGCCAGGCTCACTCTTACATGCTGGTGCCCCATCACTCCAAAATCTACTTGCACAGAACACTCTTACATAGGTCTTAACACCAAGATCCCACCTGCACTTCCTCTCACTCTCCATCTGACTTACTCTGATAGTTAAATTGTGAATTGCCAATGTATATGGTTAAACCTAGAATGCTGTGAAAACTTTACACCAGTCAGAGCAAAACTGCCACAAAAGCCTTTTCACATCCCTTCTGTACTGACCTCCACGTCACTTGGATTGTCATCCTCAACCTCACCTTCTTCTGTCTCATCATCAGAACTTGACTCCTGTTTTTCTAAGAAAAATAATTGGGGGAAAAAAAACAAACTCCATTTTAGTGCCAGTCACACCTGATTATGATCACTTACATTCTCTGAAATCAACCTGAAGGTGTTTTCCTTCCTTTTGTGCAGCCTAGAGAATAATCAAAGCAGTAAATGCCTACAGGAATGTGAAGCAGACATGAGCACAGAACACAGTTAACTAGAGAGCCCCATGGCAGGTAACTGCCTGCAGCAACACATGAGGATTGTTCATTTAATTCTTTGAAAGCAAATGAAATGCACAGCAATTCAGGGCATGGCAGAGATCAGCAAGGCCAAGATGCTAAAAGGCACATAAAAGCCTATTTCCCTCAGTCTCCCTTTAAAAGGCCACAAGTACCTACAAGTATCCAATACCAACGGTGCAAAACAAGCTATTAATCAAAAGCTTAAAGGTTTCTGAGAGAGAGAGAAATAGAAAGGGAAAAAAGAACCCCTTAGTGACTTAATCTTGAAGTGAAATAACTAACAGAAGAGTCTGTGCTCCCAGAACTACTCAAGCTGCAAGATGCTTGCACAGAGATTGGCTAATTGCATTTAGGTCATATTTAGCATGTTTAAGCAAAACCTATGGAAGAGTTAATAAACACAAAGTCTCTGTTTTGCACCATGTGGTACAGCACTTTGAACCAGAGCAATCTCTCACACCAGCCTGACAGCACCACAGTGCTCAGGTAGCAACAGGCTGATTTTTAACTGACACCCATAAAAGTTAAATAAATTTAGACTGAAGGTATCGAGGTACCAGATTTATCATGACATTATGATGTACTTTCACTGCTCTTTTATAACCAACCTTTCAATGTGCTTCTTTCTTAAAACTCTAATGGCCAAATTTAGAGATGATACACACAGTGGTGAAGTGACACACTGTCACGTTGGTGTGAAGGATCCACTGAGAGGGTGGTGGGTATCAAAAGAAGGAATTAACTGTGGCATTTCAAAAATAGCACATTTTCTCACACCTGCTTCTTCCACACTTGGAACATCCTTTCTCTGCCTTTGTACACCCATCACACAGATTATTTCTGTGCAACATGTACCACTATAAATATCAGATCTGGCTTTGCCCTTGCATCTAACACGTTCAGTATCGACTGAATAACTGCTTTTGGTCTAGCTCCAACCCACCTTTTAAGAAGCAGCTTCTTCAAAAGGTTTCCAAGATGAAAGCCTTTTTTAAAGTGGCAGAATACATTTACCTGAAACTATATGATAGAAGCTCCTTCAGTAATTTAGATTATGCAGTACCCCAGCACAAGTTTAAAGTTTCACTGGTTGAACAAGGTGATGTCTAGATATGCACATCTCAATCTACCTTTCTTGCTTTTTTCAGCTGTCTTCTCTTCATTGTTTTCTCTGCTCTTTGTTTTCTCCTGATCAGGCAAGGAACTCATATTTATTAGAGCTCGTGTTGCTGTTACTTCATCAAGCCAAACCACATTACCTGTGACAGATACAAACACACAAAACCAAAATGCAGTTGGTGCCATCAAGCAGTGACAGTCTCTGCCTCAGTGGAGGGAAATTCCTAGCAGAAGTTCAGAAATGCTTTTCTATGGTGACATGACAGAAAAGGCACTGGATGTAACAACTCTTACAGGGAAAGTCATATACTTTAACATACTTGAGCTGGAGGACACACAACTTTCAGCATATTACAAAACACACAACAACTGATCAAAGTCAAAGACATTGAAATGCACAACCACAGATCTCAGAGGCTTCCTGAGCACAGCAAATCAGGTACTGAGTTGGAGTCAGTGTGTGCACAAGTGTTACCACACAGATGTGATTCAGGGAGCAGCAAGGGGGAAGGACAAAGCCTTGATGGTTTTCCCTTTGGCAGTTTAACAGAACCTTGGACTTTACTGTGGGATTCTGTTAATCTTTTCCAAAAAGCAGGAAAATAGGGGAAATAGGAGAGACTGCTGAAACCCTTTGCACAGATTATCATGTACCAGGTTAACAGTGATTCAGTGCATGCCTTGTACATGCTGTGACTATCAGCAGATGGTACTGAAATGCAACTTATTAGGCCAAGTATTTCATAGACGTTGAAACTGAAAGAGCTAAAACTGCTTAGAAACAGGATTTGAACAAAAGCTTTGTGCATGGATGCATTTGGTGCAAATACAGCAGCAATGTCACTTACTGCTCTGCTGTTAAGCAGAATGTATTCGGCCAGCAGGAAAACTATAGTGACCCAAAATAAAGGATTCTCTCGTAAATTACTCAAACAGACAAGATTTACAAGGTGAAGAACACTCAGATCCTAACTTCCATGAGTGGTTAATAACTTTTCATTTTTTTAATGCCTGCCTCCTCTTCCCATCTCCAAATTTTCAAAGCCTTTAACATTTCACATTCATCAGTTGGAAACACAGAACACTGTGTAAATTTACCTTTACACTAAGTCACCTTGAGATGTAACTCAGTTGGGAACATTAAAGGTTTTGCCATGCTGAAAAGACAAAGCTTTTTCTTGCTATTTTCACCGAGTGTAGTTGGTGTTTCAGACACAGCATGACCATCTATCACTAAAAAAATGATGTGTTGCAACTGGGTAAAGTATTGTTACAACTCTGACGCTACATTTTTGCACTGCAAGTTCACTCTGGTTCCATGCTAAATTTTATCATGTAACACTTAAGAGAAGGGAAACAAAGTCTCAGAAACGCAGTGTGAGATGCAGCGTTAAGCTGTGCATCTCCTAGCTCATCCCCACAGGTTCACCCAGCAGCTCTTCACTGCAGTTGTCCACTCAAGGCTCATTGGGTTTCAGCACATCAAGCTGTCACACACAGACTTCAAGGTTACCAGTATTTTGTAAAATATCTTACCATAGAATCACAGAATCAGCTGGGTTGGAAAAAACCTCCAAGATCAAGTCCAACCCTACCATGGTCACTAGACCATGGCACTAAGTGCCACATCCAGTCTCATCTTCAAAACCCCAGGGATGCTGAATCCACCACCTCCCTGAGCAGCACATTCCAATGTCTGATCACTCTCTCCACAAAAAATCTCTTCCTAATAGCCAACCTAACCCTCCCCTGGCAGCGCTTGAGTGTGCCCTCTTGGCCTGCTGCTGCGTGCCTGGGAGAAGAGACCAACCCCCACCTGACTCCAACCTCCTGTCAGGGAGTAGTATTGCACTGGAAACATAATTCCTTTGGGGACATTCCCGGGAACCACACTACTAAGTCTCAGATCTTAGCCATGCTTGTCAATAAAACAGTTTCCAGTAATCCAATTGGAAAACCTGCACTGGCTCTTGTTTCTTTTTATGTGATTTCAGTTACAGGATTTTCAGCCACATGACACTATCAGAGCTTTCCAGTTCCATAATCCAACACCCAGCTGTAGCCAACAGCCCTTCTGCAGCCTTCAGTACCAGTGAAGATAAGCACAGCTGTGAACCTCTTATCTTGCTGGGAATCTCACTGCAGATCACTCCCCAAAACAGCCTCTGCAATGAGCAAGGAACTTACATTCCTCTTCCTATCTATGTAAATCACATTCAGCTGCCACCTCCTTCCACCCACTGATTCCTCCTTGAGCATTCACTGAACTAATATGGCAACAAGTCTCCTCCTTCGCAGCACAAACCCATTCCAACCTGCCCAACTGCACAGCTCAATCACCTTCTCTCAGATATGCTATTTATGTCAAGGTGTAAGCAGCACCTAATTTTAGACCTTTCTCTTTTTCCACTTAGAGAGCTGCCAATTATTCTATGCTGTCTCTTTCCTATAATAAATAATCAGAGAGTGGGTTTGGTTTATCATCATGTTATTAATTCTTTCCTTCCAAATCTCTTTTGACTAAGGCAGATGACAGGGAAAGGCTGAGACAGGCAAAGATCAGTGACTGTGAAAGCCACTGAGACATGACCAATACTTTATAAAAAGAGTAAGAATTACAAAGACTCCGTGTACTTACATGATGTGTCATCTAACCACTCGATATGAGCAGGAGGATACTCTTTGAAATAGGCAAAGATGTCCTGTGTGCTCATCTCATCCACTCCACAGATGTAAATCGTGTCTAGTCTCACTTTAGGAATTGCTATAAAGAAGAAGAGACACAAAACTAGGTTTATTCCAAGCTTTTATATTAGCAACATATGGTTTTATAGACAAAACATTTTAAAGGAGCCAAAGGGAAGCTAATTGAAGTATGATGTACACCATTCTACACACCATAACTTGAGTTATTCTTCCACAATGCAAAACTGGTAAACTGAGAATTAAAAGAGGTTATATTGCAGGCACTGGCAGATGAGGGATGGCACAGCAATCACACTGCCTGAGAAACACTTCTTTCTCTTATTTATTTAACTGCCAAAGTGCTAACATTGAGTACTAACCAGCCAGAATACCAACGAGGCCATGCACAAAGCACTCCCACCTGTATCACCTGATGGAGAGTTGTTACAGTCCACAGCTCAGGGCTCCAAGCTGCCAGTTGGAAAAAAAAACCTTTGAGAACTAACTGGGTGCCAAATCACCAATCTGTTGTGCACACATCTCCTGGCTGATCTGCTTATATTCTCTTTCACCAAGCCCAGCTTGCCATCAGTGCAGCTTCAGTGTGTGCACAGCACAGAGACTGATCTGCCTGTGCACAGGACAAAGAGACCTCCACGTGTCCTCAGACACAGCTCCAGGGCTGGTCCTGCAAAGAATTCCAAGATTCTTAAAGCAGCACTGATCCAGGGACTAAGTGCTGTTGCCAAACAGTAAATAAGGCACACAAAAAATGGTGTCTTCTTTCTAGGGTTGGTAAAACAAGGAGTGAACTGATAACTCTCAACTAGGTACAAAAATAACGACATGAAAATAAAAAGGTGGAAAAAACTCATAGTGATTTCTTTTGGCAATGATCTGGGAAAACCTCTGGAAATGCAGGAAATACAGGATAAACCAAGTAAAGAAACCGTGAGGAAGTAAACAAAGACATCTTTTCTCCTTGACTGTTGGATGAACTCGTACCTTTCTTCATCATGTCCCGATCCAGCGCCACATTCCTCTGGGCAAGATTCACTTCAGCTCGAAAATGAAAGCGTTTGGCTCTTTGTTCTTTCTTCTCAATAGCTTCCTGCAAAATGCAAAACAATGCAGTCAAAACAGGAACCACAGCAGCTTCTCAACAAAACTAGATACTTCAAATCCACCACCAACAAATCTAGCAACAACCTGCATGAGTAATTCTGTTAATTGTGAAGAGACCTGCGAGTTTCAGAATGTAGAAATAATTCACCAAAACATTTCTCTGCCACTGAATGGTTTTAATGTAGGTCCAGCAACACAGGGGGAATGAAGATGCACAGAAAACAAGGTATCTTGGACAACACTCTGACTCTATGATGGAACAGCCCTTTTAGGGGTGGAACATGTAATGATGGGACATCTACTTCCAAACAGACATCAAAGAGCTCAAAAAAAAAAGCTCTTTTAAAATGAGCATCTTTTAAGGTTATAGAGATTTTTCTCTATCTGTTTTTTAAATATATACAAAAATGTAAAGTTGTCTCTCTGAGCAGGAATTTTACACTGTAGAGATCTCAGACTGGCAGCTCAGGCTCCCTTTAAGGAGCTTATGAGCAACAGCCTGTGTGGATCTTGTGCACTTTTGGAAACTGACTGAGAAGCTCCTTGTTCTATAGAATTTATTAGGAAGCATTATAGGGTTTTGGATCTTAGTAACCAAAGTCAAATTTGGAACACAAACTGTGATTCATGCCAGCTTTGTGAGCATAAGGCTAAGCCTCTGTGCATGTTGGGGAGGAAAGGAATGAAATGGTTCCTCCTCTCCAGCAGCAACGATGAGAATACGTTGTTATAAAATTACCTTAGAGGTTACATCTATTCCAGTGATGAAACTTCCAGCTTTGTTTTCGTACCTCCTGCTGGTGTCCTGAAACAAAGCAAAGTGGGGATGAAATCTCAATGAACACTGAAAGCACTTGTTACACTGAAAAAATAACTGGCCATTTCTACCAGAAATATATCCTCTTTTCCTGGATCCAAGCCACATCCCTAGAGAGACAGGCACACAAGCAAAAGACTTCTCTGATGTCAGTGAAAGTAAAAGCACATGAACTGAACTTCCTTTACTGTGAGGATTCTTTCTTGTAACAAAATTCAGTTTCTATGTCAGCTGCTGCTAAGCATTTTACTTTCTATCAACCATACAGGGGAAGTTATCAAATATCTTTCCTAAGTAAGACTTCCACAATTTTGGTTTTGAGTATAATTTCCTTGTAAAACATGGACAGATTAAGCAGTGATACCTGACTCCTGAAGGGTCTGTCTGCAGCTTTTAGTCTCAAAAAGTCAGACACCAAGCCATAGCCAACAATTAAACAAGGAACTTTGTATTCCTATCATTATGTCAAACCCAACTTGCAAATACCAAGGTGAAACATTACTGTTTTGATACAAACCTCCTGAGAAAGGGCAAAAATGGACAATGATGGGGAAAAAATGACAAGTTTCATTTCCATCAACCAGTCAGGGCTGCCAAATTCAGAAATGCAGTAAACCATGCAGACCCTGAACCAACAACCCAATTCACTCTCTTCCATTGTTTCCACGTGTAAAAATGGCATCTCTCCATTCTGGCATCCTCAGGACCATCACCTGGCAAAAGTTTGGAGCTGGAAGAACACTTCTTGCTCTCTTTAGGAGGGAATGTGCTCTTTACACTTGTGCTGCGATAATTATTTTGGCTAAAGGGTTTTTCTAGAAGTAGGTGAGGCTCAGTTTAGAAATACAAAAGAACACATGGTCCAACCACTTTTCTTAGTAACAGCATCACAGTTTGTCTAAAGCTGCCAATATTTAGAGTCACTAGAAAAAGAAAAGCAAAATAAACATTTTTTAAAGCTGAAAACCTCCACTGTCTGAAGTTGACTCATGGAGCACAAGGAAGTACAGCAGGGTGCTGTCTCTTGGGCCATGCTAGGTAGAAGCTCAGGCACATTGGTCGAGCAGCTAATTAAAGATTAGTTTCCGAAGTAATTTCCACACAAGTTTCGAGAGCAGGAGACTACTTAGGATTTCAGGAGAACGCTGACCCAGTTTTAGTTATTAAACCTAATCCTACTAAAACTTGAAAGGAAACAATTAGCAAGAATGGAAAAGGGAAGACAGAAAGGAAACCCTCAAACCCTGCTCAGAGCCCACACCCCCAGTACCCCCAGTGCCCCCAGCTCAGCTCTCCCGCGGCCAGCGCTGCTCCCAGCTCAGATATTCCCTGTGTCCAGCGATCCCTTCACACTCTGCACCCCAAATCCTCCGTCCTCTCCTTTTTTCCATTTCCACGCACATCCTGACGCTTCCCCTTGGCACTCGCCCTGGCAGACACCCCCAAATCCCTCCGTGCCCCACTCCTACCACCCTCAACCTCCGCCGCCTCACAC